TTTATGTCAACTTGGCTAGGCAATGGTACTTATTTTGGTCAAATACCAGCCAATTCTGGCATTTCGGAAAAAGTCAAATCTAAACAAATTAGAAGAAATCAACCTGCTTTTAAATCAGTACTATAAAGCAGAATACTCCCCATAATGTGGGTGAGGTTCATCCATCAGCTGAAGGCCTTACTAGTACAGATGAGGTTCCCAAGGAAGAAAGGAATTTTATGTCCAGATGCCTTCTGACCCAGACTTCAACATCACCTCTACTCAGGAATTCCTGCACATTTCAGATTTGCTAGTCTACAACTGTATGAGCCAATTTCTTAAAATCAGTCTTTATATATGCATACACACATCATATTGATTCTGTTTTTCTAAGAACTCTAATATAATATGATTGTATGCTGTAACTTCTGAGTATTTCTATGTATAATCTTACATTAAATTTCTATGTATAATCTCCGGGTCAAAATAAATAATTGCTTTAAAATATTTATTTAAGTAATAGAGCCCTGGCGGGGTAGCTCAGTTGGTTAGAGTGTTGTCCCAATATGCCAAGCTTATGGGTTCTAGCCCTGGTCAGGGCAAATAAAAGCAGCAACCAATGAATGCATACATAAGTGGAATTAATCTCAAAATCAATCTCTCTCTCTCTCTCTCTCTCTCTCTCTCTCTCTCTCTCTCTCTCTCTCTCCTCTCCCTAAAATCAATCCATAAAAAAAGCCATGATAGCTAAGATCACGAAATTAATGCTTTAAAATTATTTCCAATGCAAAAAAGCCAAAAAACAAAAAAAAACAAAAACAAAACAAAACAAACAACTCCCTCCAAAAACCCAAATCTCCCTCTTCAACAGGTAACTGATAAATGATAGCTAAAATAAACTTGAAATACCCTGCAGGTCCAATGGTTACCCAGCATCTGCCTCCTCTTCCTCTCCAGTGTTATACTTCAATTGTAATTACATGCTCAAACCAAGAAGCTGGGCTTGAAACAAAAAAAGTATATAGCTGACAAAGTCAGAGATAGCAAGAAAATGCTTTCCGCCGAAACCGGTTTGGCTCAGCGGTAGAGCATCGGTCTGCGGACTGAAAGGTCCCAGGTTCGATTCCGGTCAAGAGCATGTACAGTGGTTGCGGGCACATCCCCGGTAGGGGTGTGCAAGAGGCAGCTGGTCGATGTTTCTCTCTCATCGACGTTTTTAGCTCTCTATCTCTCTCCCTTCCTCGCTGTAAAAAATCAATAAAATATATTTTAAAAATTAAAAAATGAATTATTAAATTATTTAAAAAAATAAGAAAGAAAATGCTTTCCAAGTATAAGTAATGTAAGAACTGACAAGTGAAGTGAAGGAAAGATTTCAAAGCTTGAAAAACAGTCATCAATACTGACAGATTACTGTAATTCTAGCTGCTAGCAAGATCGATTTGGGCAGCATTTGACAATCAATATTGTCCTCATTTAGTGAACAACATTAGATTCATAGTTACAAAGATGCTCCAAGGATAAAATTTAAACTGTATTTAATGATCATAAATAGCACAATTTATGCTGTGGAATCTTAGTGGGTACTTTTATTGGGCATAAAATAAGTGACACAGCGGTGTAAAAATTATCAAATATAATTGAGTTTATTACATATTATTTTACCTCTTCACTTCTCTTATGAGGATTAAAGTAGTAATTCTGGTGATTTTTAAAGCCATTTCTATATCAATTTCTAAGGTTTATTGATTTGTTTTAGATCACATAATTTTTTTCCTTATCCAGATTTGCCAAAAAAATACATTTTAAAATTTGGTATTATATTTCTGATATATTCATTATTTTAGATTAAAAGACATACTCATATTTCAATTTCTTGAAAACATCACTGTAATTATGTAAAATTTCACTTAAAAATCAAGTAATTCACCTGTATGAAGTCTTTTCCTCAATGTTTAGAATTAATATAGAACTTTGTGAATCTTTGTCAAACCTGACTATATATTCTTCAGATTAGCAAAGGCTAAGAGTATCTCTATTATATACTTCATTAGCATAGGAAAATAATTTCCATAAAGCTTCTAAATTCAAGCTTCCAAGTCAAGAAAATTTTTATCTTATTTACTGTTTTTACTCTGAGTGTTCAAGAATTGATTTTGCTGATAGAAATTGCTCATATTTGCTGTGTAAATAAAGTGTTCATGTTTACTATTTTCATTTGAAATTATCTCTCTTCATCTTAGATTTTTCTTCAATGTGATATCCATTAACGTCTCAGCAAGATTTAACAATTACAAACTTCACGAAGCAGACTTGAAAATCCAATCCAATCCAATCAATTAACCTACCAACCAAGCAAACACAAAAACCCAATTAGGCAATTCCATGGTGTTGGGAAGAGTTGTTTTATATTGACTGTAATCTTTACACATAACAGAATTAATCACTGCACAAAACTATGTATCGGTACCTTATTTTATTTACTAAGTACATTCAAATTCATTATCTCATTTAATCTTCACAATAATTCTGCTATGGGTATTAGCATGTTTTTTACAGATGAAAAAAGTGAGATTTAGAGATTCTGTGACTTGGCCAAGGTCATAAAGCAGAGCTTGAATTAAAAGTCCTGTTTTCTAACTGCAAATCTAGTTACCATACCTCTAGTGTAATATGCAAATCTGAAGTAGCTCTCAAGAGTATGAAATTAGGTGCAGGAAAAAGAAATTAAGCCATATCCCCAACACTTTTAATTTTGCATTTAAAACTACTTTGTAAAGTGTGCATATTAAATGTTATTTGTACCTTGGGCCAGAAATAGTTTGTGTTTGCCCAATAAACCCATTTCCTGCTATATAATATAAGAAGCAAACAGAGTTTGTATTATAATCTAATTTCTCCCTAAAAGATTTAAGGTATTCTTTCAACTATCTTTTTTAAAAATATGTCTTTACTGAGTTTAGAGAGAGGAAGGGAGAGGGAGAGAAATACTGATGTAGAAAAGAAAAGATTGGCTGTCTCCTGCAAGCCCCCTATTGATGATTGAGCCCACAACCCAGGCAGGTGCACTGAAAGGGAATTGACTTCTCAGTAAATGGGACGATGCTCAACCAACTGAGCCACATTGATCAGGGCTCAACTGTGTTTTAAATAACAGTAAAGGACACTACCTTCAGGATGAACATCAGAATCAGGCAGACTATAAAGAAGCAAAGGTCAGAAAGAAGACAACCTCAATGGACCTGACAATGTGGAGAAAATTAGTTATTGGGTAATAATCTGTATATTCCTTGTAAGATTAATTACTTTTGTAGAGCTATGCCGGGAATAATAAACCAAATCCTTATATTTCACTACAATGACCACTTCAAATCTGAGTTTTCAACTTAAAGTGAAGCTCTAACTGCTATAAATAAGAAATGCTATATAAATGTCATTAAGATTTATCAATGTAACATGCCATGATCTACCTATAATTCCATTTCATGGTATCAGAATACATGAGAAATTACATAAAAATCCGATCATGTAAGCCAATTTTCATCAAAAGAAGAAAATGCATACAACAGACTTATAATAAATCCATTTCATAAGAATATGTATTTTTTAATTCTCACCCGAGGATATTTTTCTAGTGATTTTTAGAGAGAGTAGAAGAGAGAGGGAAAGACAGAGAGAAATATTGATGTGAGGGAAACACTAATGTGAGAGAAACACATCATTAGGGGCCTCCTGCACAAGCCCCAACCAGGGTCCCAAACAGAGCCCAGACCGGGTAGGAGCCTGCAAATGAGGTACGTGCCCTTGACCAGAATTGAACCCTGGACCCTTTGGTCCACAGGCCAATGCTCTATCCACTGAGCCAAATTGGCTAGGGCTAGAATATTAAAAAAAACAACAACAACAAAAACAAACAAACAAAAAACTTCCCTGTAAAGCTTAAATCCATAAACCTATATAATAAAAGGGTATTATGCAAATTGTCCCCTTGTCTGGGAGTTTGACTAGTGCTTTGGGGGGAAGGCGGAAGCAGGGGCGGTTGGCCTGCCAACCGCATGTACCCTCTCCCCCCAGCTGGCTTAGCCTGATCAGCTCCCTATCAGGGTGGGCCAGCCAGACCCTACCCATGCATGAATTTGTGCCGGGCCTCTAGTTTATTATATAAAAAGAAATAAAATGCTCTTAAATCATATAGGAAAAGTAAAAGAAAACATAAACCTATTTTACAAAGGAATATCAAAAAACAATTTAAAATTTAAAACTGTAAATTATGCCCCAGGCACTGATCTAAGTGCTTTACACACATTGCTTCACTGAGTTCTCCTAATACCATGAGCTACATATTATTGTTCTCATTTTATATTCGTGAAAAATTAAGGCTGAGAGAGATTAAATAACTTGTCCAAGACTAGCTATATAGCATTTGAGGCCAGGCAATCTGGCTCCAATAATCATATTCTTAAACACTCAATTTCCTTGCAAACTTCCATGTCTCTCTGTTGTTCCCTCTGCTTCTGGAATGCTCTTAATCTCACACACCCAAAAAACTCAATCATCTTTCAAGATTGATTCAATCCTCACATTTCTCAGAAATGTTTCCTGATACCACAACCCCTTTCAGCTATATAAGAAGCTACTTGTTATGACACTTCCAGAATATGCTGCATAACTACTATAGCACATGTAAGCACATATACTGAAAATAGTATATTTCTTTAACTAGATTGAATACTCTCTGATGACTGTTTTGGTTATTTCTGCACATCTAGAGTAGTAGAGTACCTAGCACATAATGGGGCTCTAATTAATTAACCAAAAGGTAATTAAGCACTGATTTAAAAGTTTATAAAAGAAATTATATCATTCAATATCATAAGTGCTCAAATTAAAATATTAGGGAGGAACTCCATCCATCTCCTATATATTAATAAAAAGAAATTCAAAGGTCTTAACAACAGAAAAACATTTACCTTGTAAAGTAGACAAATATTAGAATAGAAATCATATATTAAAAAGGATACAAGTTTTGATACAGTGGAATCAGTGATTTCAGAGCACGGCTTGCATTGATAGCTGTGGCTCGAACCATAATGGGTAGGACCTTTCCATTCACAATAGCACCATCAAAAAGTGGGCCAAAGAAGGGAACCTGATTGAAAAATTAGAGCATAATATTATACTAAAATTGAATGTTTATATAAGAACAATCAAGATATTGCAAAAATGTTTCTGCTTTCCCTTTAGTTCTTTCTTCAGTAGAAATACTATTCAAATTCAATTATTTTCAATGATGAGTCATTCACACTAGAACAATAAACAAAAAATGCAAAAAGTCTACACGTTTTCATTCAAAAGAACTGTGTACTTCATGCAACAGACTAAAAAACTTATATTCCCTCCCAACTTTCAAATTTTTATAGCTTCAATTGTACCAAAAAATTCAACACTGGAAATAAATTCCTCTTCCTTCACTGAGTAAACACAGGCAAGATATACATTCTTGTAGGTAGCAAGTTAGTTTTTAAAAAAATATTTTTGTGTGATACCCAACTTTATTACAAAACCTGAAACATTTCATTTACATCATTTATTAGAAAAATCTATGTTTTGATAATTTTCATTTTTATCACATGACTGACAATTTCAAGTTATTCTATAATATTTGACTATGGTTGGTACAAATGGCAGCTGAAGGCAAGCGTATGAGCTGTGAATAATATAGTAAATATTTTAAGCTTATGGCCACATATTGTCTCTGCTGCATATTATTTTTCAATTAAAAAAATCCATTAAAATGTAAAAAAAACATTTTTAGCTTGTGGGTTATACAAAAATAGAAAGTGGGCCATAGTTGGCTGACCTCTAGTTTAGATGAACCCTAAAATAAAATTTGGCCATAAGCTTAAATTCACATATAGGAAACTTAATTAAAGGAATTCTTAGGATTCATAATCAACTGTCAAAAAGTTTTCTATAAACAAACGTATTCAATTAAAAAAAGTAAGAAACATGAAAATACTACCAAACATTTATTATTTTGAAGGCAAATACTTCCACAGGTATGTTTCAATCCCACAGTATAACACATCCAACTAGAACTACTTATTTGGCTTTAAAAAACACTTTTTAAAACTCAAACTTATTAAGTGACTTAATAAATTTGAGTTCTAAATACATAATCTTAATAAGATGTATCAACTAAAAATACAGGAATCATATGTTCTTATTATAAAGGAAATGATTACTTCTTACTGTGTCTTTTAGGAAATAGTAATCATCCTATATAGTAAAGAGCTAATATGCTAATTAGATTGAACAGAACGACCATCTGGACAACTTCCAGATGAAGCCGAGGCTGCGAGGGCCGAGCCCCTTGCACGAATTTTGTGCATCAGGCCTCTAGTTCTTTCAATAAAAGGTAAGCCCTTTTGTGAGCTTAGCATAAAATAACTTTCACTCTCGTACTATGAAGCTTTCTCCCTTTGAACATAGTTTCTTGCTACTTTTTCTGTTTAGCTCCTTCTGAACCAGATTAAGACAATTCATATAGCTACCAGAGTTTGTTTTATTTCCCAACTTGATGTATACTGTAATCCTTCTGAAAGAAGACAAGAAACAAAGCCATACAGAACTTAAAATATATTATTAAAATGTAAGATAAGAAGTTCTTACCTCTGGTTTTTTCATTATCTGAATACTGAACATGTGATTTTTCATTGGATATATTACAATAAGGACATCACCAAATTCTGTAGGAATAATTCCTCGTCTGTAGTCTCGAGTATGCTCTGACCAAACAATGTGTACTTCATCATTTCCTAAATGTCTCAACTGGAAAATCAAGAAAATAGTTCAAAGTGCTTGAGAAAGCCTTGTATTTATATAACTACTGTTAACATACTATAAAAAGATTAAAAAATAAATTAAAAAATTTAAAAATTTCATTTGAGAATTTACAATACATGAAACACAAATATTCAAAGACATCAACTGACACTACAGAAGACCAGATAGTTTTTAACAGTCTATAGTTAATGGAAAACAGAGAACTTAGATAAAAAAGATTCACATACTTCCCAAATACTCTCCTTAACAAGCAATTGCACTAATTCTCCACTACCAAACTTTTTAAAAGATTGTTTTTAAAAAGTGATTGATTTAGCCCAGTGGTTGAGCGTCAACCTATGAACCAGGTCACGGTTCCATTCCTATTCTGGGCACATGTATGGGTTATGGACTCATTCCCCAATAAGGGGTGGGAGAAGTGCAGGTGGCAGCTGATCAATGATTCTCTTATTGATGTTTTTATGGCTCTCCTCCCTTTCTCTCTGAAATCAATGAAAAATAAAAATAAAATAAAAAGTGACTAAGATTCCTTTTGTTTTTCTGATCACTCTCTGGTAGTGCTAATGAGCAGTGAACTTGTCTAAAAGAGGTAACAGGAAGAGAAGTAAAAGAAATAGAACATTCATAAGTTGAGTAATCACCCATTAAGTATGAGAAAGTTGATTATATTTGGTTTAATAAATTTATTTCCAGGTTTTCTTTGTCTATGAAACTAGGCCTATGAAATCCATCCAAATAGACTTCTTTAGAGTTGATAGACTCTCAATATGTTATTTAAATATTTGTAGTGCTTACCAAAATGTTTTTGGCAACCAGAGAGAGATCATATTGTGATTAAAATTATAAAAAGCACAGTACCCTGAAATTGAATTTCTATAAGTTATTAAAAATATGTACCTAATACCCATTAGTCTTGCATGTTCTTCATAGAGATTACTGTACGAACATGCATTTTAATATAAATTATCTTAGCACATTTTAAAAAATATATATTTTATTGATTTTGGGGTTGTTTTTTTTTTACAGAGAGGAAGGGAGAGAGATAGATAGAAACATCCATGAGAGAGTCATCAATCAGCTGCCTCTTGCACACCACATTGGGGATGTGCCCACAACCAAGGTACATGCCCTTGACCGGAATCGAACCTGGGACCCTTCAGTCCGCAGGCCGACGCTCTATCCACTGAGCCAAACTGGTTTCGGCATATCTTAGCACGTTTATTGATTCTGCCATTGCAAACATTTGACTCCATTTTTGAGTCACATCTCACATGAGCCTTCCTATTATTTTCAGATAAGTGGACATATCATAGTTAGGAAAGCCTGAAAACAAAAAGTAGAATAAGTGTCATTGTATTTTTATTTTTAGTATGAGCTATTTCTATTTCTGAAATATGCTTTTTTTTGGCTTAAACACCACAGTGTGGAAAGAGTTAAATGTGTAATTTAAAGAAAGGAGTTAAGTCCAGTATATGAAAGGCTCTCTGGAGTGCTTAACCTAGGTTCAAAGGCTCCATGAATATTTGAAAGTTATCTGTAAAATTTTACATATTTTTCTGAGTAGAGTGTCTATCAAAGTAAGAGTAGGCAATAAAAAAAAAAAGACAAGAATCAGTGTTATAATTTTTTTTAAAAACTCTAAATAGGTCTTTAATGACTGGGATATGGTTTAGAATTTAAAGATTGTTGAATGGTCTAGGCCCATTGAATGGTCGGCAAACTGCGGCTCACAAGCCACATGTGGCTCTTTAGTCCCTTGAGTGTGGCTCTTCCACAAAATACCACGGCCTGGGCGAGTCTATTTTGAAGAAGTGGCATTAGAAGAAGTTTAAGTTTAAAAAATTTGGCTCTCAAAAGAAATTTCAATCATTGTACTATTGATATTAGGCTTTGTTGACTAATGAGTTTACCTACCACTGGTCTAGGCCATGGGGACAAAAGTGGTCAGTAGGCTGTCTGAGACTGCTGCTGACAGTAGACATCCCAGTGCATGTAGCCTTTGTTTTTGCAGTAGTGCAATAGCCATCCTAGTCTCAGAAATAGCCACCACAGGTACCCTGAGTGGTCAAACTCCACTAATTGTTTCCTACCAGGCTGCTCAGCTTCTCCGCCAGCTTACAAAGCCAGGTTATGTTAGGCATTGGGCTCTGTGTTGGCTAGTCCAAGAAGGCCATCAATTCTTCATCAATAATCATCTTGCTAATGATGGTGTGCACAGTGGGCAGATTCAGCTAACCAGTGTCTCCATGCTGAAGTAATCATAGATACTGCTGTAGGTGAAGCAGGTCTGCAGTGACTTCCTGGATCTTCCTAACCAGCATGGCTGACTTTTTGTCCTCAAGGAGAGGGTCCCCACACTTTGCCATTTATCTTCTCATTGATGATAAAACTGTGGCAGGTCTTCCAGTTGCCCATCTTCACTGACTCAGGGGGGATCCAGGAAGAGCTGCAATTGGCCCACTCGCAGCTAGTAATGGAACTGCTTGCTGATCATATGTTGGTGGGCATCACTCTATTGGGTGGCCATGTAGGGGACCTCCAGGAGCATGGCAGACACCAAGTAAACACACTCCAGCAGCTCCAGGCTGATGTGCAGATGGGAGGGCACCTGCTGGTGCCACTCCACCTTCGGCTCCTGGCTGGCTCCTTTAGGCGGTGCAGCAGAGACCCTGGACCAGAAGTCTCTGGGCCTGGCTGCTTGACTGGGTGTCCAGGAGAGCACTGTGAGCATCAATGGACAGTGCTTGGTGGAAGGCACAGATGCACAGCTGTACCATGGTGCCGTTTTATAGGATCTGTACTGGACGAACTGCTGCTGAATGCTGTCTTTTTTGTTGTTTAACTTTTTGTGAATTCTGTCTTGTAGGTGGCTCATTGCATGAGGTCGTGGATGTGGTACCAGTGGGAGATATGGCAGAGGATGGTGCACTTGCAGTCTTTGGCATAGATGTACTTGCAAAGTCTCTCCATCAGCACAGCTGAGTCCTTGCCCTCATTTTTTGCTTGATCTTGGCCAGACTTTGAGGAGTCCTTAGGGAAGGTAAGCTGCAGCTGATGGGCCTTGTCATTAAACTTGCAGAAGGTGTGCAGAATGCACCTCAAGCAGACATGACAAACCTCAGTGGTGCTCTTCTCTTCCAGGTAGCACCGCACAAGCTCAATGACTGGAATACACCTGTGCCTCATACTTCAGGTGCTCCACATAATCTTTTAAATGAGGATCAGTACTTTGCATTATTTTGGTAAATTCTTCATCCATTCATTCCACCAAAGTTAGGATACAGCCATAAACATGCAGTGCTGGTCAACATTATGTAGACTCTAACTCTCTTCCAGAATGTTCTCTTCAACAAAGATGTTACATTTTGCAAACAGGATGTTCATCAGCTCATTGATGCAGTCCAGGCACTTGTGCCACATCTGGGCACCTGCTGACATCCTGAATCTTTATGGCATTACCAAGGGTCTGATAAGGTTGGCCAATTCCTCAAATCTGTTGTCCTTGGCACTTCGAACCACTCTCTTGATATCTTCTTCATCTTCACTCAGCAACAATGGCTGTTTGCGGTAGTTACACCTGACAGGTTTGGTGACAAGCTCCTCCCTGAACAAGGGCAACTGGTGCTGAAAAACTGTGACAGGGCAATGGCATTCAAGGGCCATAGCAGGTGCAGCCAGATCAGTTGAACCTACGAGTCACACCTCTGAACTCTAGTGGTTCTTAAAGTCCCCAATACCAATCTATCCAGAAAATCCTAATCATTATGGATGTCATTAAGTTTTTGAGAATACAAAGTAAATTCCGAAACTTTAAAATCTGTATCACTAAACAAGAAATGTCTTCTCAGATACTTTGATGGATTATAAGATATAGGCAGCAATTATTATTCTAAAGATAGTACCCAGCTAAATCTAGCCACTGGAATCTATTTTAGAAACATAGTATACATTTTTTTCTTTTAAGGAGGACATTTTGTTTTTTTTATTTAAGGTTTAAGTGGATTAAATAATTCTTTGTTTTTTTTTTACTTTGGAAACCATAAAAGTGCTTATTGCTCTAAATACATGATGGTAGACCTCAAATATAAAAATATTGTATAAGTTTTTTTTTTTTTTAATCTTTATTGTTCAGATTATTACAGATGTTCCTCTTTTATCCTCACATAGCTCCCCTCCACCTGGATCCCACCCCACTTCATGCCCTCCCCCCGACTGTCCTCATCCATAGGTGTAAGATTTTTGCCCAATCTCTTCCTGCACCTTTCACACTCCCCGGCCCTCCCCCCAAGAACTGTCAGTTCGCCCCCTTTCCATGCCTCTGATTCTATTACATTCACCACTTTATTCTGTTCATCAGATTTTTTATTCATTTGATTTTTAGATTCACTTATTAATAGATATGTATCTGTTGTCCCTTTGTTGTTTATAATTTTTATCTTTATCTTTTTTTCTTCTTAAAGAATACCCTTCAGCATTTCATATGATATTGGTGATGAACTCCTTTAGCCTTTTCATGTGTTTGTGAAGCTCTTTATCTGACCTTCAATTCTAAATGATAACTTTGGTGGGTAGAGTAAGCGTGGTTGAAGGTTCTTGCTATTTATCACTTTGAATATTTCTTGCTACTCCCTTCTGGCCTACACAGTTTCTGTTGAGAAATCAGCTGACAGTCGTATGGGTACACCCTTGTAGATAACAAACTGTTTTTCTCTTGAGAATTTTAAGATTCTCTCTTTATCTTTTTCCCTTGGCATTTTAATTATGATGTGTTTTGGTGTAGTCCTCATTGGATTCCTCTTGTTTGGGATTGCATGCAATTCCTGGGCTTGTAAGTCTATTTCTTTCACCAGGTAGGGGAAGTTTTCTGTCATTATTTCTTCAAATAGGTTTTCAATATCTTGCTTTCCCTCTACTTTTGGCACCCCATAATTCAGATGTGGGTATGCTTGAAGTTGTGCTAGAGGCTCCTTACACTATCTTCATAT